GAGAAATTTCCCGTCGAAGAGGATGTAATTGGTCATCGAATTCTATACATTAAGTTTGATATGCACTACGGATGCTGGAAGCTCATTAGCAAGAATAACTTCAAAGGTTTGCTACAAAATATCGTTCTGAAAATAATTTTAAATTACGCTAAAGCTAATTTAATAATTACAATAGTTTGGGACCCTTACAAGGAAGAAATTACTTTCGAAAGTTCTCCATAACTAGATACCCATACTTTCATTACTTTTTCAAAAGAATTTTGATTTTATTTATAGTAAAAAAAATGCTCGCTAATGCAACTCTCTTATCAATTGGAATCATTCCTAGGTGCATTGTTTTCTTATTAAAGCTTTACTAATTATGCATTTTATTGGAGTTATCAATGAAAGAATACAATAAGTGCTGCATGAAACGGAATCGTAAACGGTGTCCGAAATCACATCGAAATTTGGTAAAAATAATAAAAAAAAAAAATATTTTTTTTTAGAATTAGTTTTCGTAGATCTCAAATTTACACCAACGAAATTAAAAGCACTAATGCAATTTCATAGTTAAAACAATGATACCAGAAATTGAAGTTATTCATTATGTAATTAAATAAACTTGTTAGTTGACGTCAAAATTATACTACTAGACAATTTCTTTTAATTCGGCCATTTCGGATTTTCTCTAACAAGCTCTCAAGAAAACTAATATTTTAAAATTTGCATTAAATATAATTCGCATAAATAATTTATATTTTCTCTCTAATATAAGATTTACTTATGTACATTTTATTAGAAACGAATAAATTTCGTTTTGACGAAATGTGCAGAATTACTGCTTTAAAAGTGCATATCTTTATCTTTCTTTCTTTAAATTTGGTAGTTTACTAACATTGTAAAAAGTTGCTAAAGTCAATTTCACGGATGTAAAATACATTGTAGTTATGCTTGCGTAGCGTAAAAGAGTTGAATGTTGAGCAATTATTTGCTTCATCTCCCTTAACCTTTGCCAGAATACCTTATATGTGATCGAACGCGTATTCTTAAATACAAACAACGATCATATCTCTTTCAACAAAGCCCAGAAGTTAAAAGAAAGCAACATTCATTATAATTTCATGATTTGAAAGTGGCTCAAAGTAATATTTTTATCATAAATATTTAAAACACAAATAAAAGAACAAATATATAATAAAATAAATAGAACATAAAATAATATACGCTGCTCTTACAACAATTTCATTTGTGACTCAATTATTGTTAACCCATGAGAATCCACAGACTTCATTCATTCATCATTCCCGGTTTCGTGTTGAGTGGCAAAAACAGAGCATATTTTGAGTGTCCACAAAGAATGAAGCATATACAAAGGCGCTTACTCATGCATATGCACATAATGTAGAATTAGAGTAAACTTTTATTTATGTATGTACATGTGACTATTTTTTAGTTCAATATCAATGACTGTAGAGATTAACCGTAATTTTGTTGCAACAATAACTAAATTGGAGCAAATGTAGCAGAAGCTCAATGCGTACGTAGGTATACATATAAATAAGCGTATGTATACATATGTACAAGTATGTAATAAATAGAATAACACATTTTCCATATTTCTACTTGTGTTTTTGGAGAGTTGAAAAGCTGCGTTATTGTACTATTTTATTGTGTTAGTGTGTCAATTTACGAGCCGAAATTTTTTTGATTATTTATACACTTATCTTCCAATGAAATTTTCCATCTGCTTATCTGTGTCCTTAGCCACAGTTTTTGAAAAGCTGATATCTATTTAAGTGTAATGCATGCATATATACGGACGTATATGAGTATTTACTAATAAATGAAGGTATTTAGTTTGGATCCACTAGCTCACTTGGATATAAATGCGACCCAGAGTGCGTTCCCTACAATGTATTCATACTTCTAAATATCCTGCCGTACAATGATGAATGATTTTACACGGGTACTGGAGTAGGCGGACACAAAGTTACAAATATGAGATAGATACAAAAAAATTAAAGCTTCCAGTAGCAGGAATTATGTAGGGACACCGTGGCAGTAGTATTTAAGCGAAAAATTAATCATTAACATCGATATAATCTTTTTCACTGATACAGCAATGACATAATAATATAATACGCGACCGTCAGATAACAGTTATCCATTGTGCTTTTCGTTATTGCCATACGCGTATATACATATATATGTATCTTATTTGGAAGAATCACTTGATTACTCACCAAATATTTATACATTCAATCTTTTCGTTTCTTTTCAATTCATTCACTTTCTCGTTTATAAAATTTGTTTATAAAAACTCTGTACTATTTTCTTTTTTTGTTTATTTTGGTTGATGTTTATTTTTATTATTTTTACGTTTTGCAATGCGAATCAGGGCGCAAATAGCGCAGCAGCACTTTTAGATACATATGTATGTATGTACGCACTCTCGAATTTCCACTTGCTTTGATTGTTCAATGCGATTTTTCCGTCCGTTATCGTGCACAACGACGTGTGATACGAGAATACAAGAATTTATTTGCTGAAGATTTAGACGCTTTTACCGTTAATTGCACCTTCACCACGGACTCATCGTCAGTACGAACTTTTTATGCTTTCGCGTGCTTACTCTTTTGACTTCGTCGTGTCTGTGGTCGTCGTCTTTGTGATTTTGAATTTAGCTCAAATTGAAAACTCAAAGTTTTCGTTTGTTTATATTCACTTTTCCGCTTCTTTACAGTGGTTTGTGTGTTGGATGATGATGTTCTGTTTTCACTTTAATGTCAGTGCTCGGAAAATATGCGCATAAGAATATGAATAAGCTTATATATTCTAGCATACACAGGTATGTACATATATAGTTACATAGAAATCATGCTAGGATAGGCCAAAAATCATTGAGACTGGCCTTCCTATAATTCTCCTTAATTGAATGACATGCGCAATACAAACTCCACTCTCGCTCTCGAACTTTGTTAAAAAGCTTTTAAACATATACATACACATATTCCCCTTGTAAATCCACTAATTTTCGCATTGCGTCTGTAACTCGTGTGTTTAAGAACATTCCATACGCTTTTATTTAATAAATACTTATGTATAAAGGCTTCGCAGTTTCACATTTTTTTAATTAAATACAAACAATGTGCTTATTTTTATGGTTGAACGACACAATTTGACCAGTTTGTAAATTATTTAATGTTTATTGTTTTGTATCGAACATGGGTATACTAGGTAAAGATTTGTCAGTTTTAAGGTTTTGGTAGACAAAAATTAAAATAAAATATATTTCTTGAAAAACTTAATGGGCGAGAAAAAAGTTTGGTTTGATTTCAAAAACAAAAAACAGGGAAAAAGGCTATAAGACTACCAAGCTAGTCATATAGAAAACTTTGTTGAAGAATAATAAGAATTTGTATAAATTAAATGTTTATGAAGATCAAATCACTCTCTTTAAACTCAAAACTTTTCATCTCGTGTTTAATTCAACTAGTTATTCATTTTGAACAAGTACAATGCAAGCCTTCAGAACTTGATGGGCAAAATTTTAAGCCGTTTTATGAATAAAATTATGTAGGCTTATTTTTAGGCTCGTCATTAAACATACACAACCCACATCTCCGACGTAAATTATAGCCTTTTTAGTAATGTGTTGTTAAGGTTTTCACTTTTTTCCAAGGTTGAATAATTCTTTTTAGAAACTAAGAATAATTTCGAATATTTTAAAACTGATTCTTATATTGTACAATTATATTTATAATTTCGCTTTAAGAAAGGTGTTTGCTAAATCTTATTAGGGATACCAATTACGCAAAGTTTAGGAATTTAAAACAGGGATATCACAAAGCATTCAAATAAACATCTTAAAGAATACGAGAATAGATTCAAACTATCTCCCATGTAGTACAACTAAAATCGCCAGAGCCTTTAATCACAGTTCAAACGATCTATAACCTGCTCCTGTGAATCTGAGAAGAAATCCCAGAACTAAGAACTGGGAGCTATATAAACTTACTCTGCATAACTTGCTAAATGACATGATTCAAGCTCGAGGAGAGCGTTTCATTGCGTCTAAATCTTCAACGCGTGCAGTTATAAGGTTAAGATCGATACTCTCTCATATACTTCTGCAGATATACCTTTCAGTCCGTACAAAGCGCTTGAATCATGGTATGAATGGCATTATCCCTACGTAATTTTAGTTTAGTTAAGAATTATCCACGTGCCGATTCAAAATAATTTTCAAATGCTAGTCTTAAATATGACCACATTTCACGGCATGGTGAAAGGTATCAGTAGTATTCATACGCAAAGATAGTAAGGCCACAGCCAGCGATCCAAAAGACTTTAGGTCCATAGGCTTATCGTACCACGTTCTTTAAACACTCCTTTCTTCTAATTTCGAACAGTCACCACGCATATCAGCAAAACAAATCAGCAAAAGCTGAGTTACAATGGTCAATGTCATTTATTGAGGTCGCTGAACGAACCAGATGCTGTAAAGCTTAGGGGTTAACAAACCCTCTGGTTGCATTATTAAATCTGCTACCCCTCTGCAGAATTGTAGAACTGTAACTGCGTCTTTATTGTACATCAGCTATCCTTCTGCTCAGGCAACGCCTCAAGGTAACGTCCTCTGTTTTGGAAACATACGGGAGTGGAACTAGGGAAGTTGCAAGGTTTCACAAACCCTATGCGATTTTGTGCAATCCCACAAAGATACAATTTCATTCCCGCTGCTGCTCAATTATTTTTGTTACAGCATCAATAACATAATACAAATCCCTAAAACTGAATAATGAAGCTATAACAGTGCTGATTATTGCATGCTTTCATACAGTAGAATACACATACATACAATCAATGTTATTTCCTTATATACAGTAATTTACAATCATTTACCGTATACCTTTATTTAAACCACGACTGTGCTCTATGAAAATATTGTTACCCTCTAAGACGTAGGTAACCATTTCGGGGCTAATATCGTACGATTTTTTTCGTTCCTATAAAGCAGTTTCCGTACCAAGACGACCCTGCAGGACGGGGGTAACCATTTTGCAGCTAATATCGTGCGATTTCGGTGTTTTGCCACAATATCCTTAACACTAATTCGTAATGGATAACTTCTTTAGAAAGAGGAGTGACATATATCAAATTTAGTTATTTAGTGTGTTAGACAGAGATGTGGGTAGACACATAATTCAAATGCGACTTTTGAAAATTTTCCGTCATTTACTTTTTCATTTGAAGACGCTAAGAGGTAAGACTTTTTATTCTATATTTTTTCTAATATATAATAACATAAATCTTTTTTTTACAGATTGACTGAATAATTTGGCAACAGTAGCCGAACTCAAACAGCGAAAAAACATCAAATGAGGTAAATATGTGTATATACGAGTATGTATACAAATGTGCGAGCATTGCTCTTATTGTTGTAGGTTTTCCTTTAGGTAATATCATTATAATGTAATTATTTATTACAGGTCGATTGAACGTATTCCTGTATCGGAATTCAAATAACGAAATAAGGTAATTTAACATATATACGTGCATCGTAGAATAATGTAATTGTTTATTCCAAGTTTTGTCGATAGGGCCACCACATTACCACATCTGAACTGATTGATCAACAATGTATTCAAGAAACCCTTCAGCAGATAGCCAAAGTGAGCTTTGCAGCAAATATAAAGGCTCGACATGTGGACAAAATGTAAGTTCGAGTTAAGGTTGTAGCAAGGTTGTAGCTACGGCCAAAGATGTGTAAACCGAATTGCAATAATGAGAAACATTTGGCGGTAGCTTCAAAAGTGTAAATAAAAGTGCTTGTAAAAATACTAATTATGCATTTTTGGGCCATATGTACATGTGTGTGTGCATGTGTACCAAATGGCAATGTTTTTTGCAAAGTTCTGTTTACTTAATTATTTCAATTAAATTAGTTCAATTGATTAATAAAAGAATGTTTTTAGTTATCATTTAGTTTCATTAAATTTACTAAAAAAAAAATGTTCTTTGCAAAAATTTTATGGCGATTATTTGTTTAACTTTAAATAATTAAAATATGTTCTAAAGAAAAGTTTTATCAACTATATTTTGCCTCATTTTAATTTATATCAATTCAATTTACTTTTTATGTGAAAATTTTTAACTTTTGATATGCAAGTGCCAGTCATACATATACGCGTGTGTAGCAACTGGCAATGTTGTAACAAAAGTTCTTTTCTTCTTTTTCTTCTTTTAATTTCAAGAAATTTATTTTAAAAAAATTAACAGTTCTGCAAAATTGCCATACAAATGACACTTTTATTCTTATTTTGTATTTCAGGTATCCTGAAGGAATAAAGATGTCACCAGGAAATATTTGAAATATGCTGGAATTACAAAGCTTAAAGGATTGATTTATTGTTTTATATGCTTTAGCATATATTTATATATTTAAAATCACAGATCTCGATGTGCTTATGTTTAAAATGAATTGATTTTGTTTTAGTTAAAAAAAAACTAACTTTTTATTTAGTAATGTTTATTATTTAGAATATTTATAATTATTTAATTAATTTATTGATTAAAGGCGTATATACCTGAATTTATATGTATATCTTGAAAGTTAAGTAAAAATAGTAGAACAAATTAGTATATAAAAAATATTTTGGTGTATAAAATTATATTTATTTTCACGTATTTATTTGTAAAAGAAATTATAACTTTATGAAATAAAAATGTAAATTATATTTTAAATAAACCAAAAGAAACTTAAAAATTGCTATTTTTCATTTCAAAGGAAATAAAAAGTCAATAGTCTATGGGTAACAAAAATATTTGTTTTTATTAACTAATGAGTAACACTTCGGGTAACAAATCTATTTTTTTTAATAACCAGTTGCTGGCAGATCGAGTAACATACGTGCTTATTTTTAATAACAGCTGAAAAAGGCGAATACATATAGCATACCAATAAATTCAATGCGAGTGAGTGAGAAAGAGAATTACACGTATGTGAAACAAAGCGGGGAAATTTTTTATTTTTTTCCCACGGGTAGAAGAAAAGTAACAATTTAAATAACAAATGTACGTATGTAAAGTAACAGGCGGATAACATGTTAGGCAACAGCTACCCGTCTTGCAGGATAATAACATATATCGTATTTGATTATTTATTGTGTTAGAAAGAGATGTACGTATAAACATTTTTCAAATATGGATTTTGAAAATTTTCCGCCATTTACTTTTTCAACTGAAGACTCTAAGAGGTAAGATGTGTTATTTTATAAAATTTCCAATTAATTATATATTTCTATTAAGAAATTTGTTATGTGTATATATGTAAGTAAATATGTGCATATTGACGAATGTGTATGCATGTACATATGTACATGTGATATTTCAATTATATTATTTTTTTTTTTGGATTAACATCAAAAAAACATTTCAAGGCTCTTCCGGAAACAATAAATACCCAAACGTAAGTTTTTCGTTTATTAGAAAGAAAGAGAAAATGGCGACACCGTAACGCCATCATCAGCAGTATCGTCAGACGGCGCTGTTACGGTATACTCGTCAGCGTTATCGCTATCGTTTTCTGTCGGTTCGTATCTTCAGTCAACGTAGCAGACGATGCAGAAATTAAAGCGGCCAATGACAAGCGCTTAAGCTGAGATTCTTATTCCAGAATTTGAAAATGATCCACATTTATTTTGGGGTTTCCAAACAATTTAAAAGTGGGGTTAGAAGCTATTGCAACAAAAATTAATGCAAGGTATATTTAAAACATAAAAAATTTAAATGTTTCTTGTTCATAATTTAGCTATTTTATTTTCGAATGAAAAGTTAAGAAAAAAATTATGAACAACAGGAAACGGAGGAGCTGACAAGCAGATGGTATTGGCTTCTCTTGAAGAATCTGTTGCGATAATGAACCGCAGCGCGACATTAGCAGCAACAATACGCCAACAGATTTAGAGGGAGTTACTGAAGTGTAAAGCGGGGAATGTTCTAGATGTTCCATCAGTAGATGCTGTGCTAATTGAAGGGACTTCACGTAGTAGTCCTCTTCGCCGCTTGAACTTGAAGAGAACAACTCGTAATCCATTTTTTTTATATAAAAAGGGTTTTATTGATTTAAGCAAACTTCGCAGTTTAAATATATGATTCAAATATTAAAAATATAGCAATAACCCGTAAAACCATAATTTCACAAATAAATTTCACAATGCAGAAAACTTTCGGAGCACAGGGTTTCCGAGTTTCTCAATTCACAACGTTTGGTCTGCATTGCTTGCAGTTGCAGTTAAAAATGTTCTTCCACTTCCTACGCACCACCCGTAAGTGGAGTGATACGTACGTTACCCTATTCTGCAGGAGTCTGCCCCGCCTGCCAACCGCCAACCAGCAGCAACGTGCGGCATCAACGTGCGGCATCAACCTTAGCGGGCATTACAGCAGCAACACACTCCATCCATGCATCACTGCCTCACCCTCGGATCACGAACGTTCCCCCGAGATAAGCTCGACTCCTACAATTTAATTACAACGGATTCCAGGGTTATATCGACCAGATAGTCGACAACATGAGCCGAGAGCACGAGTCAATTACTGCGATCCAGGAAACGAATTTGACCACCTGCTCAGATCTTTCGGCCCGGATACAAAATAATCCGCAAGGATCTCTAGCGGGACTATGGTGGGGCTAAGCGTTCATCCTGCACAACACCGTCTTCCGTCGGCGACATCGACCGCAGAGATACTACCCTAGAATGTCAGGGCATAGCTATCCGGTCAGGCGATGCCGTGTTCTAGATATTTAATAAATACATTCCTTCTGTTACAAGTTGCCCAGTTGAATATAACCCTGATATAAGTGCGCTACTCAGAGGCGAAAACCATTTGGTTTTGGATGACTTTAACGCGCATCACGATTTGGGAATCTAGCCTGTCAAATGACGGCAGAGGAATGGAGCTGGCAGAACAGATAGACGCTTCGACATTCTGCACAATGAACGATAACACCCCCACCTGAGTTGTAAGTGGTAATTGCCAAGCTCGCCAGATATAGCGAGTGCTGGTCTGATAAACAGTAAAGTCTGGCGATCTGTACTAACACTAAGATCGGACCACTTACCGATACAAATTTGTCAAACTTTAAAAAAGCGTACTGGTCCGGCTTTACGGAACCGAGAACCTCTTTAGTGATCTTCCCATTCTTCCAAACACCAGCGCGGCACTTGATTTCTCCATTGGAAGGAGTTCAGGGGGTCATCGGGAAGATGAAAGCCTCCAAATTTATGGCCTTAAACACTAAACGTCCTAAACACCCACATATTCAATGACCCTAACCAAAACCGATCCTGAGCGCGAACTGTCCTGGCAGCACTGTATCTGTCAAAAGCTTTTGACACCGTCAACCATTCAGTACTAGATACTAACGAACATTGAGGAATCCTCACTACTGCCGGGTAATATTCCGAGGTGAAACATCGAAACCCATAAAAATTTAACAGGGGATTTCGCAGGGTGGTGTCTTCTTCCTACTCCTTTTTAATTTTTACATTTCGAAACTCCCTCTTCCACCATAACAAGTTTCCCTCTCTGGTGCCGATGATTGCACGATAATGGCATCTGGCCAGGATATTGATGACTTCTGTCCGAAAGTGAACTGATACCTTGTCGATCTTTCTCACTTCTTCACTGCACGACAACTGAAAATGCAACCGACCAAATCCTCGGCTAGCCTCATCACCAGGTGAACGAAGGAATACAGGCTTGAACTGGACGTAAAGGTCGATGACGTAAAACTCCGACTGTAAACAATCCAAAGATATTGGAAGAAACACTAGATAGCCTGCACTCCTTCACTACGCATATGTCCACAATTACCGCAAAACTCCATAGGTGCAACAAAATACTCAAAGCACTAGCCGGCAGCACCTGGGGAAAGACAAAGAAACTTTGCTGGCGGGGCGCCGGGCACGAACGAGATGGAGATGACAGGCTTGCCAGAACACCGCCCTCAAGACCGCGACAGGAAACCTCCTGAGAGCGCGGGAGCATCACTTGCACAGTGAAGCATCTATGCCACGAGCACAGGAGCATAATGCTTTCATCTGCCATTGTCGTGCTCCTATCAAAGTAAGTACATTACATTTTGTGCATAATGGCGTTGGATAATTTGAAGCAACAACGCGATAGCACCAAGAAAAATATTACGCGCAATAAAAATATCATTGACACTAGTTTGCGGTAAGGAGGTCGGACCCTTTCAGCCGCAGAGTACAAATGCCATCTAGGAATCCTTAATTCATATTTTAAACAGATTCTCTCACTTCAAACGGATATAGAAAAATTAGATGCTGAGGAATTGTATATCACAACCAAGCTAGTTATCCAGTCGCAGCTGTCAGAGGATAATAAGGTTTCGCTCTTGGGCACAAATTGTATGGTACAGTCGAATTCAAAACTTCCGCGCCTGAAGCTTCCGGCCTTTGACGGCAAGTATTCAGACTATGAAAACTTTATAACGTTGAAAAAATTTAATCACCTTCGAAATTGCCTCAAAGCCCAAGCTTTGGAAACTGTAGATGCGTTTCAGTTTACAAATGAAAATTATCCAAGGGCCTTAGAACGGCTAAAGGTACGGTATGACAACAAAACACTTATTTTAATTGAAAGTATATCTGCCTTGGCATTCAGCTTTGAAGGTTCCTTGACGTTATTAGGTAATGACACACAAATCTCCCAAGCAATGCTTATTCATTTAGTTTTGAAGAAGTGCGACGAACAGACAAACAAAAAGTGGACTTCACAACGCTACCGTCATGGGAGGGTTGTACAAGAGTGTTGGAAAGACACTGCCAATATCTGGAGTCCATAAGCAATACATCAGAAATTCTTCTGCGTCTGGCACTAAATCAGCAATCAAGCCAAGGAACTGCTCTAGCATGTCATGTCAGTATTGCTCAAGTACAGGACATAAAATTTCAAACTGTGAATACTTCAAATTCATGAAAACCACTCAACGCTTCGATCAAATTAAGAAAATGGAATTATGTATCAATTGCTTTTCGAAGGGGCATCAGGAAGTGTATTGCCCCTCGACACATACTACATAGGTGCAAGATTTGTGCAAAACAACACCACATCCTACTACATCGCGGTTCAAGCAACTAGAAAACACCTCAGCCATCGATTTCACAAGAAGCAGCCGTACATACACATATGAACAATTCGTCGATAAATAATGTAATTCTAACAACAACAAAAATCTCCGTTCGTGACGCTTCTGGTGGCTATAGTTTGGGTACCGCACTGCTGGACTCCTGTTCGCAAGTCAACTTTATAACCGAAGAGTTTTCAAAGGTTCTGTTGTTGCAAAGAAACAAACAGAATTTAGAAATCCAGAGTATCGGTGCATCGTCAACAAATATTAAATTCAAAACATCAACCAACATTAAGTCAAAAGTAACTGGCTTCGAACTACCGTTAACATTCTGTATCACATCACATATCGTTTATCAACCGGATCCTGAATTCCATATTTCAACATCGAATATTCCCACCAATTTAATATTCGCTTATGATGAATTTTATAGGCCCAAAAGAATTGACATGTTGTTGGGTACAGACATTACATACTGCTGTGTGTTGGCCAAACTCAACTTGGATCTAATCTTCCCATTTTACAAAAAACTCTCCTGGGCTGGATCTTTCCTGGACGTTGTCAAGCAAACACTAATAAGTTATCTAAATCATCTCGTCTACTTAAGCCGGCGAATCGTTAGACAACAAATTGAAAGCGGAAGAAGTTACTACCATACCAGAAGCTTTGACGCGTGAACAGCATAGTTGCTATCATTTGTACATTAAAACGGTGTCCAGAAAACCCTGTGGCAGAATATTTGTTCAACTACCGTTCAAGAATGATCCTGTTTGCTTTGGCGAATCGTATACTACGGAGTTGAGACGATTTAACGCCCTAGAACGTCGATTGGTAAAATCACCACAACTGAGAGAATTATGAACGAATATGAACGTTTGGTTCACATGAGCATTGTAAGGCATTCAAATTTAAGTGAAAGGCATTAGGCGAAACTTCGGATAATATAATATTTGATGTGTCTTGTCGAACTACAACACAGCGATCATTAAAGGAAATACAGATGGTTGGCCCTACGATCCAATGCGAACTTTTTATTCTGCATCTTCATTTCAGGCATTTAGGTTCGCATTCACCACTAACATTGTCAATATGTATCGCCACTAATGCACGAGGACGTTTGCAAGTTCCAGTATATACTTTGGAGAAAGTCCGCTACTGAAGATATTCTTACTTACCAACACAATACAGTAACGTATGGAACGGCGTCTGCACCATACTTGGCAATACGAAGTCTATTTTATTTAGCTGAACAACATTCAAAACAATTTAAAATTGGATCAAAAATAGGGAATCGTCGTTTTACGTAGATGACTTACTTTGAGGTGCTGATAACCTGCTGGAACTCTCTCGGATAAAGCAAGAAGTAACACAATTATTGGAACTAGGCAAATTCGAATTAACAAAATGGCACTCTAGTCACTTTAAATTCCGAGAAGACACCTCCACAAAGTATCTAAACATAGACGATTCTATCACTAGTACACCTGGCTTGGAATGGAATCAAAATCTTGATTGTTATATTTTCTCGTTTGATGCAAAACTAGAATCAACTGGGAACATAACGAAACGTTCAGCGCTCTTCGATCCCCTTGGGATTTCGACTCCTGTGGTTATAACATCAAAAATTTTGTTGCAAGAATTGTGGTTGCTAAAGTTGAATTGGGACGAATCTGTGCAAAGGTTTAAACAACAATTTATAATAAATCTTTTAATATTCATCTTTGGACAGATTCGCAAATAGTATTAAATTGGCTTTCGACGTGTGCTGGCAATCGAGTGTCGGAAATTCAAGACCTATCCGAAGGGGATAACCGGAGGCATGAATCAACGCATTGCAATCCAACGGACTCAACTTCTAGGGGATGTACAGTGAAAGAACTTGCAAAGGTATTAATAATTGGCGAACTGACAAATGCGACGACATAGATATGGAGGTCGTCAAAAGTAAGAAACGAAATTCAGTATTCATCACAACTATCAGTTCCAATTACCAATACCGCAAGAACTACACCATACCTTCCTATGCATTATTTGGGACATACAACAAACTTACTTTGCTAACGACATTCATCTTTTACAGAAGAAACGCACCACAAATGGCCCGCTGCGTTATTTAAACCCCTTTCCTGAAGACACTGAAGGGTTTCGACTAGAATACTAGAAAAACGGAAACACCCAATGCTGTTACTAAGCAGATGCGACTTCGTGATACACTACGTTCGCCATATTCATATTAAAAATTATCACGCAGGACCCAAAGCACTCGTATCACTGATACGACTTCAGTGCTGGATTGACAATGCGCGCGACGTAGCGAGGCGCATTGTCAGATCTTGCTATCATGGCGAACGCTACAAGCCAAAACTTATGAACCAAATCATGAGACAGCTACCAGTCGAGTGGCTAACTCCAAGTCGTCCATTCGCACTCTGTGGTGTCGATTTCTGTGGTCCAGTCAACATCTAGCTTCACATCAGAGGCAAGACTCCTTATAAGGCGTACATTGCGATTTTTGTCTGCCTAACTGCCAAAGCGGTCTATATCGAGCTCGTTTCAGTCCTAACTACGTCACTAAAACGAATGGTCGTCAGAAGAGGACTGCCTTCTGATATATTTTACGATAACACAACCAATTTCATTGGGTCTTGTAACAAACTCACTGAACTGCAGGTATTCCTGTTCAAAAAAGAAAATCAGAGCGCAATACTATATATTTTTGTGCTAACGAATTTGTTAATTTTAATTTTATTTGACCTAGAGCACCTCAGTTCGGCGATATTTGAGGGGCAGCAGTGAGATTCGCGAAAGGCCATCTTAAACGCACTATAATGAATGCCAGACTCACACCCGAGGAGCTGACAACAGTCCTGATTGAAATAGAAGCAGTGATGAATTCTCGACCAATAGCACCACTATCATCCGACCCAAATGACTATGAAGCACTAGCTCCAGGACATTTCATTATTGGTAGTTCGCTAAAGGCCCTGCCAGAGCGTTAATTGTCAACTAGCATCAGCAACTCACAAGGGTGGAATCAAATGACAGGCATTAAGCAGGCATTTTGGAATCGATGGTCACACGAATACGTCAATGAACTTCAATCACGGACGAAATGGTGCGTTGGGAATCCAAATATTCACTATAACTCAATGGTCATTATTCATGAAGACAACATACCACCCCAAAAATAGCATCCTGATTCCAATAGTCGACATTCGGACAGCGAAAAGCGTCATTCGGCACCCAGTTCATAAGCTAGGCCACCTTTTTATACCAATTACAACTAGCGTTAGGATCAGCAACCTCTATGGAATATTAGTATGTATGTACATAGACTAGGAGCTTTGAGAAACCGGTTTGGTAAAGTAGCGGTTTACATTTAAGACATGAATTAGTATTTAAGGAAGTGAATTGTGAAAAATAAATTAGTATAATAATTGACCACCGAATCATAGCGTTTTTACTGGGCACCTACATACATATTCGTATATACTATACTCTGTACATTTTCTAAGTGGAAACAAACAACTTGTGTTTGCAGTTTTCGCATTTTGTAAATTCGTGCAGTTGCAAAAAACTCTGTGATCCTACAAAATCTATAAGTTTCGTCAACAAATTTCGTAATTTATATGTTTGAATATAAACGCCAATCAAATACATATATTTGATCCATGATTCATATATGGCAAGGTAAATTTAAACACGGTAGTGGCAAGAATACAAAAACAAAAAGCCTTTGTCGAATTCGCCTTGATATATGGTAATAAATAAATAATTTCGAATTCAGTTTAGTTATTTTTAATATTCGTTTATAAAAGTTAATATTGACCACCTTTTACAACAGCCAGTAATCAGCGGAGTCTGTTTTACGGATAAAACCCAATTGCCTCTGGCTTATACTGGAATGGAATGTTAATAACGACATCAGTAATCGGTGTTAACTTTTCATTTACATGGCGCCTCTAATAAAATAGGTTGTAATAGCTGAATCGCTATGTCTTTGGCTGGTTGTTGCATTAGAATATGATGGCTAAGAAAATCTAGACTGTGTGACGTGATTTCCAGCACGTCCGCCAAAGAGCACGACAGGATTCCACTGGAAGCAATTTTTGTATCTGCTAATAGGACGGAAAAAAGGAAAGAGTTGTCATCAGCTCTTCAGGACTCTGTCCCTTCATATACGATGATGAAAAAACTGGGTCGGCGGTTTCAACAAGGATGGTCGTGACCGATGAAAATGTTCAAAAACCCCAAAAATTAGTGCTGGCTGTTCGAAGAATTAAATTGTGGCAGATATCAGAAAGATAACAAAGGATTGACAAAGAAGGAGCTGAAGAGATTTTGCATGAACATTTGAATATGACAAAAATTGGGTACCGCGAATGCTCTCGTCACGTCGACAAGCAAGGAGAGTTATACTATTTTTTTTATTTGGGTCAAGATGATTTGGATAAAATTTGCAACCGCATTGTAATAGTCAATGAAACTTGAATTCGTCAGTATGAGCCGAGTCCAAACGTGAGTTGATTCAGAGATTATGCCTATAACTTTCTGTGATAGCGAATGAATATTATTAATTCATTACTTGTCAGAGGCAAAGCTAATTTGTTGTGTCAGGCGCGTGAGGCAGTCGTAGGAGAGACGTGACAAATTAGCGCGCGGAATACTGTTTCTTCAAGACAACGCAACTCGTTCACACCGTTTGGGTTGCAAGGGATGCATTTGAAGCTACTGGATTTACAGAGATTGACCATTCACTGACCGATTGAAATTTATACACAATGACTCTGAGTGCAACCTGCAATTAACCAACAATATGCGTTTCAACCTGCAAAATGTTTCACCAGTCGATGTATTTTCATGCCGGTTACGGGAAATTGGGAACGGCAAAATGCCAATTGAATCTTCCGGACGGTTTTCGTTTACCGATTCTGAAATTTAGAAACATCAAAAAAAGAATTGATGCATGAAGTCTCAACTACACTACTTAGCCCAACATTAAAAGCGATTATAAAAGAATTTCAAATTTTAAAATCAATGAACCCGTTGTAATGCTACGTAATATTAATCGGCCGAAACTTCGCAACGGTTGCAGAGGAACGTAACAGTGGCTTATGAATTACCCGCGGAAAGGTTTGTCTGCGTCAGAGGCGACTAAAATCCATTTATTACCGCGGCATTCGGATTTTTATACCGAAACGACCCGGATTTTTTTCTCGCCAAGGGCTTTCATTCGCGCAATGCACCAACAGTTCTGACCGAACCTTTCAAAGACGAAGACACCATTACCTATTCCTCGAGTTCCTATCATTCCATCCCACACCCCCTTTCAATTCAAGCGACTACAGCCGCCCTGTTCGACTCAATCAATCAATGGAATTATGTAGTCTACAAGACAGTTGTATGTTGCATGTTCTAGGGTTTGGTAGACCAGATAACCTTTATTTGCGTGGCCGATAGTAAAACCAAAAAGTTTTGTATTCCCACAGGTATTAAGTAATTTACGGAAATTTCTTCTATATTGGCGTATAGCTGGCCAGGTCACTCTCCAACCGATCCTTCCAACGGAGAAGAGGACTTTTAACAGCAGGTACTGCACCAAATACTTTCAAAGCTGGACAGCTTTCATCCATTCGAATGATATGCCTGACCTAACCACCGTATCCGCTGTCTCTTCATTCGCTGAACTATGTTAATATAATCGTAAGCCTCGTACAGCTCATCGCTCCATCGTCAAAGACCTTAAATCCTTCACAAACTTCTCTCTCAAAGACTCCCAGGGGCGACTCATCAGATGTTGTCATCGTCCATGCTTCTGCGCCATATAGTAGGAATGGTATGATGAGCGACTGGTAGACCTTTGTTAATGTTCGCCGAGAGAGGACTTTACTTTTCAATTGCCGACTGAATCCAAAGGCACAATCAAGAATACATCATTTTTGCGGTCAAAAATAGAAGGGGAAGCGAAACTTTGAATGAATATTTTTGAAAATTATTGTGATGTATAGACTCTTCATAAATGGATGAGTTCCAAAACGCCAGTTTCAAAGCAATCATACATTGTCACGCATTCCTAAATGTAACTGCAAACTTTGACGATATATCATGTTCCAAAATTGTTAATTGTTATTGTAAAGTTATTGTTATTCTTAGTAACAACGGCCGACGTCGGAGGGCAAGTTTTTTGCGATGATTATTTTTTTTTCAACATTATATTAGTTATTTCTTTGATCTGTTTTATATTTTAGCCATTTCACCGAAATGCAACTTATTTACACGTTAAGCGTCCCAAATTGTCAGAGTTTGCAAAGTATTGTTGCAAAGCAAATTTATAGAATACAGGGTTGCATTGTTGTGATGCGGTTTCGCTACCGCATCATTACAAAGTAGTTTGACGTTTTGAAACTCGCTCAATCTTTAGGCCATAAGAAAAGACGAAAGGGTGATAAGAACAATATTTCTCCAAGGCAAAATAGTTTTTTATTTGAATTACCAAAGTTTTAGACCCCAAACGAAAAGAGGTAAACAGTGAAAATATATTGTCCTAATTGCTTCTTTGCTAACATAATTAAGTGAAGCGTACAATTTTTTTCCATTATTTTAATATCAAGTAATTTTATTTAATTAATTGCATTTAATCATTCTTGTGATTAATCATTTCTTAGATTTCAAATTTTACAATTGAATTTCCGCAGATTTTTAATCCTTCGTTAAAACTTCTTCATTCAAGCATTCTTCCTCTACTACACCGTTATTGGAGTTGTCGGCGAAATATTGGCTCCTGCTTCATTCTTTTTAATAGCAATTTTTGCAACACCATTCGAACACTCCATAGAACCACCCATCAAAACAAGAAACATTCCATTATGCGCTACAGTTCGCCACATTTTACCTATCCATTTATCAAGTTTAGTCATAGTTTTCTCCACATTTTCCAGTTGAAATTCTTGCCCACTCAATCGCAAATTAGTAATTGTTAGTGTATGTTCCAGTGCAATCTCACGGGCCTTATTGATTGCACTTTTATTACTGTCCAATTCGTAAAAGCAAACTTGTTTGGTTGTCTCTTGCATTTTTTTCTCTTCGGCTTTTGTAAGTATTTCCTTAATATGTTTATGTAGGGTGCCATTGATAATAATTGCAGTTCGTTTGTCTGGGTTTCCGTTTGCTAAGAGATTATTCCTAAAAGTATCACCACTAGCCAAACGCATAATATCATGTAATCGTTTCTTTTGAGTTAGTATTTCGTCGCCATATTCTAAGCTGTTAGCCAGTTTCATCTTTACTAACTTTAAACTAGCCAAAGAATCCTCAACAGAATCATGACCTGTAACGTATGTAAATAAAAAAAAAAATATGAATATAAAATTATATGAAACGTACCGTCAACATTTTCTTGTATAGCCTCTTTTAAGAACGTCATTGCAAGTGTTTGTAACTTTGCTTTCCTCCTTCGTATACCACTCAAATTAAAACACATACTTGTATCAATCACGTAGGGATGCATCATTTTCATTGCATTTAAATCGAAGTTTAAAGATTGGCCTACTAAAATTGCATCAGGAGGCAATAATTCCTGTACTTCACGCTGTACGTCTTTAATAGTTTTGGTTACGGTTTTCATAATGCTGGGCGTAATTCCAGAGAACGGAGTAAGATAATCCACAATTTTATTCGTTGGCATTACTAAAGTTTCATAAACAGTTTCAAGTTGCTCATTTACGATTGAAACACGAGTGAGTTCATTTTGACCTATCACTGTTTTACACATTTCGCAATCAATACCAAACATTGGGCTACTATCGGTAACAGGTTCGTACTTTTCTTTAGTAAATACATAGTCCTTAAATCGATTACTTAGCTCGCCACGTAATGGCATTGGATAACCTTCATCCACCATTTGTAACGCTGAAAGTAAAAGCTTTGTGCGTGGAAATTTATCGCTGGCGGGCAGGTTGCTTTTATCTGTCATATATGAATCACCATTGACTGGAAAAATTGCTTTAACTAGCAACGTAGGATCTTTTGTCATTTCTACAGCCGATTCCAATGAACCATGTTTTTCAATCAGCTTATATGCTTGTACATTGGTGAGTGGTACTTGAGCTATTTCTTCCACAATAGAACCCTCCTTCAAAGGAGGTAACACAACTTCTAAGCGAGTCTGAAATATTTCATTTGTTTGAGTAAATTTACTTTCATTCGAAAGATAATGGTATAGTGACAATCCTTCCAGTATTAAAACTACGCAGTGGGAAAGGCTCATTGGCTTTTCTAAGAAACACCATCGATCCGGAGAGCATGGTGACTTTTTACCGATTAGTGCCGACATTAGCAAGTGCTGGATGTCTGTAAGAAATATTGGTGTCCGCTGTCCCTGTGGAATTTCTAAGGATGCGCGCTGTCCGAATTCTCGCAACCGTAAAATGGGAACATTTTCTAGTTCTCTTTTACGTTGACGCAATTGACGACGCAATTCTTTATACTGCTCTGCGGTGAGTTGCAGTTCAAGTCGTTGCTGCTCTTCACCCGACTCCGTCGTTGATGACATATGCGACTCATGATTGACACTTCCATCAGTGTTTTCCTCATTCGTATCACTACTGGCACTTCTATCAGTGTTAAGCTTTTTTGAATGTTTAAGACGTTTCGTTTCAGGCTCGTCCTCACCACAAAAATCTGAATCCAGTAAATCACATTTCTGCTTTTTAGTCACTAATTTCGCACTTTTCTTTTTATGTGTTACCTATATAAAAAACAAAATTAAACTTAAGTAAAATGGTCAGATACAATTATAGCTACCTTTACGAAGCCATCATCATTAGTAGGCGTTTCTTCGCTATTTTGTGCTACAGCATGATTAACTGCCGCTTGGCTACGATCATTGTCGTTCATTTGAACCAATTTGGCCAAAGCTAATAACTTCTTTCTCTTCTTTTCTTTTCGTTCCTCTTGTTTCGAAGCAAAAGCTTTCATAATTGAATTTTCTTTGCAATATATGATATACAAAATAAACCTGAACGAATAAATTTTACTTTTGTTATTTTTGAAATTTCACGTGCTGAGAATTGTTGACATTTTCATAAATGAATATACATTTGCAGAGTTGCTTTGATTGTCAAGCTTTATTCTTATAGCAAGACTAAAGCCAAACCACCACACTACATATTGTTACGATTTTGCTAAATCAACCTCGATTACTTCCTGAATCCTTCGGGTACGATCACTGGATTGTTAAATAAAAACTCGCCAACTTAATTTGCAGTTTCTTTCGTTACAAAGAATTTATCTAATGTCCTTTATTTACTCCGTAATTCACAATTNACTCCTTTATTCGATCTGATCTGATCGCTAAACAAGTGAGAAAATTACCTGGAGCAATATTGAAAACGGCGACTGGTGAGGATAGCCAAGTGGTGTGCGAAGTAACGTGTGAGGTCACAGTAGGTAATGTGACGGTGCTACACAACTTTATCGTCGCGCAGATTGTAGATGAGGTAATCATAGGAGTGGACTTCTTGATGGATCAGGGTATCAAGATCGATTTTTTTAACAACATTATGGAATATAAGAACATGGAGGTACCACTAAGCATTGGCTATAACTCTACGCACAGCAGCAAGCAAGTGATCTTAGAAGGCAGCGAGCTGATTCCACCAAAGTCAGAAGCAGTTGTGTGGGCAAAAATTAATGGAGATTGTGGGACAAGCAAATTGTGGGTTGTCGAAGCAACACAAGATTCTACACCGGACATACTTATTGGTAAAACCCTGGCTAAGATGGAAAAGAATGGACGCATCCCAGTTAGAGTATTAAATGACTTCAGATCACCAGTAAAAATTCCTGGAGGGGCTATATTAGGGTAATGTAAGGAAGTGGAAGCCATCATCAATAACTCATCGGAAAACGACTCCATTAGCAGGAAGGACTTGAAGGAAGAAATAAATGTTTGGACGCAAGGGTTGGAAGACAAGTACAAGCAAAAGGCCAGCCAACTTATCCGCAAATACTCAAACATATTTGATAAGGATGGCAACAACCCAGGCAGGACCAACGTAGTGAAGCATTGCATCGATACGGGTGGCGCAAGACCAATACGTCAAGCTCCTCGAAGCGTGCCACTAGGCACACGTGACACTGTTGGCCAAATAATTAAGGAAATGAGCGAAAGCGGTGTTATCGAGCCATCTGCAAATCCTTGGAGCTCTCCGGTAGTACTCGTGAAGAAGAAAGATGGCCAGTTGCGGTCCTGCGTGCACTAGCACGGTGGATTGAAAGGCTGCAAATTTATGAATTCACAATCAAGCACCACAAGGGGAACACGCACGGAAATGCTGACGCTATGTCCCGTCGACCATGTAATATGGAATGGAAACATTGCTCAAAAGCCGAGGGTAAAGAAGACATCATAGACGTCCGACTAATGAAAGTTACGCAAGCAGAAGAGTGGGAGGCAAGTAACTTAAGGAAATGACAGCAGGAAGACCCAGATTTAGAATTAGTAATGCACGGGTTGGAGGTAAATAGACGACCAAGTAAGGAAAAAATGGCTGCGGAAAGTCCTATCCCGAAGGCATACTGGGCACAATGGAACAGTTTAGAGCTGATATACGGCTGTTTGCATAGAAGATGGGAAAATGAAGATGGCCAGTGCTCCCGGAAGCTAATAGTAGTTCCGAAGTTAAGAATTCCGGATGTTCTTAAGGAATTCCATAATGGTCCTGGTGGAGGGCACCTAGGCATTACAAAAACGCTGGAAAAGATCAAGCAGCGGTTCTATTGGGTTGGCTGTCGGCTGTCGGCAATCGGTCGCAGAGTGGATTGCTAATTGCACAGAGTGCATAGCAGCTAAAGGCCCAAAGTCCCGAAGTCATGGGCAGATTAAGCAGTATAGCAGTAATAAGGGGCACCATTTGAGCGGGTGGCCATGGATGTAGCCGGTCCATTCCCTATGAGCAAACAAGGAAACAAATACGTTCTCATGGTTATGGACTATTTCAGTAAATGAAGTTTACCCAATCCCAAACCAGAAGCAAAAACCGTTGCGGATGCATTCACTAACAATTGGGTTACCAGATACGGTGCGCCTATAGACTCGCACTCAGATCAGGGAAGAAACTTTGAATCGGCGGTGTTCCAGGAGATGTGCCAAATACTTGGTATTCGAAAAACCCGAACGACAGCCCTACATCCTCAATCAGATGGTATGGTAGAGCGATTCAACCGGACCCTGGAAGAGCACTTGCGGAAAGTAGTGGACAAGCATCAGGATGATTGGGATGTGTATATACCGCTTTTCCTGATGGGATATCGGTCTGCCGTGCATGTAACTACAAGGCAAACACCTCCGAGGATACTGTTTAGTTGTTAACTGCGGTTGCCCAGCGATTTAAAATTTGGAATAACTGGCGGGGCGAGAAGAATTGGGAAGGTAACGTCTACCGATCTCGAGAAAGAGCTAAGAGAGGTACATGCTCTTGTGAGACAGCGAACTCAAGTTATGAGTGACAAAATGAAGGCCAGGTATAACAAGGCGATGAACTCCGAAGGTTTCCAAAATGAAGATTTGGTGTTGCTGTACAATCCACAACGGAAGAGGGGTTTGTCCCCAAAACTTCAATGTAATTGGGAAGGTCCATATAAGATAATCAAACGATTAAACGACGTAGTGTATCGAATCCAAACCGTTGGGAGTCCAAGAAACAAGATGAAAGTGGTNAAAGAAACTGCAAATTAAGTTGGCGAGTTTTTATTTAACAATCCAGAGATCGTACCCGAAGGATTGAAAAAATCATCGAGGTTGATTTAGTAAAATCGTAGTAATACGTTTTCAATTTCATACCTTGAATTTGCCTTGGGATAAGTTTAACTTTTGTAAATTCGCCCTCCAATCCTGTGTGATAAAATGAAATTTCTCGTCTGCATGCAAGAAAATGTCGATGTGGTAATGCTTGATTTGACGTTTCTGGTAATGATAAAAGTGTATTTTGGGCTGAATATATGAAAACTAAATAAAAGATTTGCAAAGAATAAAATTAAAACCTGCAATTGCTAACTTTTATATAAACTCCAATTTTCTTCGTTATCAAAATATTGTAAATATATTGTGACGAAAATACAAACCAACCATAATAGTGCTCGCAATAAAGCGAAGGAGTACAAAAAAAACATCTTAAAGCGAGTAATTACACTACAGTCTGCTATTTACAAATTGCAGTAGTAAAATAAATATACGTGAATAATATACTGTTATCATCAACGCGGAGATAAATTAATATTGTATTTGTTGCATTCAATCACTCGTCTTTTACATCCATTCAAAAAAACATCGTTAAGACGGTATTCATTTTCTCCAGTTTTGTTGGCGTAGAGTGCCAGCGCCCATCAGCAGCCACCTACCCCCCCGATTGAAATACTGCTATAGATTTACTCATATACATACTTTGTCAATCGTGGAACGGTGCATATTTGCAATTATGGCTAATACTTTGGAGGAACAACAAAGTTTACGCGAATGCGAAAATTATATTCAGGCGCATGGTATTCAACGTGTTCTTAAAGATTGTATCGTACAGCTTTGTGTTAGTCGTCCTGAAAATCCTATTCAGTTCCTGCGTCAATATTTCCAGAAATTAGAAAAGGTAAATCGAATTTACTTCAATAAATATACATACATATACATACCAATGTACACGAATATATATGTATGTATATGGACATATGTTCAATATCATATTGTATACAAACAATTGCTTCAATATGGAGAAATTTTATTCTTTAATGTATGCTGTGACAAGCGTGTGCTACAAATGAAAATAAAGGTTTAGTGCGTTGGTGTCACTGTGAAGGCTGATTCATAACTTTCGTCGTAGAAATAATGCGCATATATGAACTCTTTAATATAATGGTAAATTACTAGTAGGCAGTTTCAATATACATACATATGTATGTTTATGTAAAATTTATATTTTAGAAAATAATTAACTCGGCTTCTTAAAAAGTAGTATTATTGTTGTTATATTTATTTTCTTTCATATTGCTTATTACATTTATCAAAACATTTGATATCAATTTAGGAAAATGCCAATTTTTATAAATAGTGTATTGGTCAAATGGCAGTCTTCTAACGGATTCCTAAGGTAATGGAGTGGTCCTCACAATTTTCAGAGGGATTACATCTTCATCGCCTGTAAATACCTCACCTAATTTATCATCGGAGTACTTTCTCATCTCCTCCAGGTGCCTAAATGGAGTAGTGATACCTCAAATACCTTGGATAAATGTGTAAAACAAGCTTAAGGTTGAGGCATTTTAACAAAATAAAAAGAAATTTTTTTCCCCACATCGGTCGATAACTTTTGGGGAAGACCCGTTACAAACGGAAATGAGTTTTCTTCGAATAGGTCAGTCCTGGGTCCAATTCCGGCAAATTTTTTTTTCTCTTAAACCTCTCCGGCTGGTAAATTTTAAAGATTACTGGTTTTGTTCAAACGGACATACGATTTTTATGTATAAGATATATTAGGTGTAGGTAAAAGAAATCCATTATTTTTGCATGAAAGTGATTTTACGTATCCAACCTTATTCAAACGGTTTCAAACAGATTTTCGTGCGATCCTTCGCAATCAAAACAGTACTGAAATGACGGTCGGACTCGACAATGTCCATGATTTTATATACATTTTCGACAATTGGCCTTCCACTCCGTAAAGTACCTTTTAAGTTAAGATTACCGGAATGAAAACGAAATTGTGCCTGGTTGGTTGTAACAGTTTCAGGACCATAAAATCTATTCAAATTTTCAGACGCCTATCCTGCGTTTTCGCCTTTATCAAAGAAAGAATGTAACATATAGCGTATGTTCTCTTTTCTAGTGTCCATTTTTGACGCAAGCTCAAACAAAACTGAATCAACCAATCACAAAACTGTCGGAAAAGCTTTTATAGTACGAAACTTAATTTTTCTAACGTTATCTAGCGAAACCCGACATACAGATAAAGAACGATAAAATAATGGATTTATTTTTACTAAGCGTAATATGTACATACATAGATTTTAAGTTTTCATAGGTTGCTACAATTTACATTTCAAAAAAGTTCAATTAATATGAATGTCTCAGTATATTAACTTCTACGGAATAGACGTCCGAGAATTTATCAATGGGGATTAGTGACATACTCATTTTTTTAATTGGCTGCTTCATACAGGAATACCTGCCAATCACAGGCATGCTATAAGATACAATAATGAAAACTTCAAATAATTTGAAGATAAGTTATTTTAAATTACTATATAAAGTTGTTAATAAAAAAATAGATGAGCCAATGTCACAGACCCATTATTTTAGAACTCTGATAAGCAAATGAACCTCAAAAGCTGTGGACATCTCACATATTCATTTAAGCCATATTATTATTAATTACACGCAATATTTATTCTTTGTTTATTTTCAAATTTTCAGAACATGTAAACTATACATCAAATCGTTAAAAGTTGATTTTCAATTTTGTCTAGACATCTTATATTTTACATCTTTTTCGCCTCGGCTTGCAAACTCTGCGCTTAGGACGGCGTTTTTTGCCACATCGCCTTTTTTTGGGCTTCCGCCTGCGAGCACATTTCGCCTTCCTGCGGCGCTTTTTGGGGCACGCGGTAGGCATTCTGGGGCACACTATACCACGATCACTTTGATATGGCATTGCACACATCTGGTTTGGTTGTGGTTGTATTTGAATTGACGGTGGCTTCCTTTTCTTTGGTGCATGAAAAGCCTATGATATATAATTATATTAAACAAAATAGAGAAAGCAAAACAAAGGCAAACCTCTTCTATGTAATGCAATTTATCCTCTTTGGGCATATTATTCCATTCCTTGGCACCGCGTCGTATTATTTCTACGGCTGAAAGACCTGTATTGCGCACGCGAAATTCACGTAAAAAATTCAGGTATGGATTCCGAAGAAGAATACCGCTGGGACGTTGACATTTTCCAGTTTTGGTCCTATAAAAGGCAGTTTTCGAGTTGCCTTTGGGTTTTGTTGTAGAGCGCGACGAAAAGGTTTTTTGAACCTCCATGCCAAGTCCTTTTTTTTTTAATTTGAAAATCAATTTTTAAAAATGGACGCAATAATTTGGATTAACTTTCCTATATAAAAGATTTTATTTAAATTTTCTGTCTAATACAACAAATTTTTTATAACTATGTATATCGTTTTCACTAGAATTTGTACGATTGAAAACATTTTCAAATGTATTTGCGCAAATGGTTTTAAAATGATATACAAAAGTATTAAATGTGTAAAGTGTAAAATATTCGATGAATTTTTTCAGATGGTTTAACATTTAACTTTTTATAAACTTTAAAAGAATAAAAACTCCAACAGCAAAAGTGTCTACAAGAACCATCTTTTTGCGCATAGAGATAAATAAGTGTCTTAAAAACTTATTCAAACTTTCCGTTTTTAAGATATTTGAACCAGTATTAGTATGCAATGTACTTTTATAAATTATGTATGTACATATGGACTGGTACCTTGACTTGGTTCGATGATGCTGTTTTTTTAAGTTTTTTTTTTTGTGAAGGATGGAGTGGAGTTTTTTATTTGGAGATGATTTTAGAAGAGGGTAGAATATTGTCCCTGCTAGCTTTAAAGCCAGCGAAGGAAAAGGGTGAAGATAGTTTGGGTAGTTGTGAAGAATAAATTTCTTTAGCTTGCTCAAGGTGCATTTTCGTTTGGGTCATGCCGAACAAAGTCTTTATGATCTTATAAAACTTATGGTATTTTATTTTATTGTTGAATTTTTTTTAACCAAATATTCATATCTGAACAAATCGGTTGTAAGGGGGCTATATGATGAAATTATCCGATTTTAATGATTTTCGGTGTCAATGCTTATTTAAATTTAAATGTCTATGTGTGGATAATACTGAATTTCACACATTTGTATTCTTTGCTCTGACGAATTTGTGTCCCGAAACATCATAGCATACAATCGTTCGTGTTCTTAGATGCATTATTAAAGTATTTATGAAGCAAAATTACATATCTGAGTAATCGGTTGTATTGGAGCTTGTGTCCGATCAAGCCAGATGCATATACGAACATGGGTAAATCAGCTCGTCATTTGGACGGAGGGGAAAATAGTCGTATTTAGCGACGAGAATACATTCAATGCAAAGCATAAGGAAGAATGAATATATCTATTATTTGCACAATTTAGTGACGGAAGAGAGGTACTTGAGTCGTCATCACAATCACAAGGTGGTGTTTATGGTGTGGAGCGCAATATTCTGATATATTGCATTCAAAAGGCAAAATTTTATAATTCGAAAGCAAATCCTGAAATCCTATTGAGCAATGATGTTCGCCCGTGGGTTCTAAAATACTCATCAGACGGTACAAGCCTATATAAAGTGAAATTCAAAAAATTCATACTTCACAAATAATTTTTGAAAAGAATTAAAAATAAATTTTATTTTTGCCGATGCTTAATAATTTTATACCGGCCGATAGGTAAAGATTTTTATATAATTTATGTACCTCCTGATAATATATTTTTATATTAATTTAATTTAATTAAACATGCTACTAAATGCCAATTTTATTTAGTTTTGGTAAAACTATTTATTTTTAATAACAATTTCTGTAAATCAATCCACTTGTATGAATATAATTTTTTTCAATACCGCGTATAAGACATAAATGAGAAAACGACAAAACTGCAATACCGCGTAAGAAAGAACTGCTCCTAAAGTCAATACAATTCTTTTGGAAATTATTGTTTACATATTGCGATTCTAACATAAATCTAATACATTGTAAGTTCAGCAAAAAAAAAAATATGTGCAGCGGTTTTGCTAAAAATGAGTTTTTTTTATTGCATTTTTCGGAAGTGATGCAGTCTGAAATGCTATATTCACCAGAAAAGGAAAGATTTTGGCATGTTCGAAGACATCGATTTGGTTGGCTTCCTTTATTTATATGCAGCAATAGCCCCATTTGTATATTAAAAGTTAGTCCCAAAAATTTTAAAATATGCATTTCAGTTTTTTTTTTTTTTATAAATTTTCTTGTTTATTTATTAGAAATGTGCTCTATTTTCGTGAAATGGCTTATGCCATTTATCCATAATCGCAGAACTTACTCGTACTTTAATGTGCAATAATAGCGGCATAGCTTGAGGGCCGCTGCTGTTTCACACTTGATTAATTTTAAATACCACAAATACTGTCCATTAACATTAATATAAAAAATATGTTGTCCTAAAATATCCTGCCACACACACTTACTTCATATTCGCTCAATATAGTTTATTTATACATATTCGTTGTTTTGTTGGTGAGTTGTTTGTGTACGAACCACCTGTTAAATTTATTATTTTCAGTTGGTCAGCGCAGCAGAATTCTACCCTTGTGAAAAGTATTTGCTTTTCTGTGTATTTGGAATCCTTACCCATCGATAGAGCGTTGTTGATTATACGGGTATGCTCAAAAGCCTGTATGCGCATATGTTTGTATATACACTTATGTATGTATGTGTATATTGCCGTTTTTGAATCATTGCTCTACTAATTATAAATTATAGAATGTGCACAAAAGAAGGCTTACAGCGGATGTTATGGTGGGAAATATGGATACTTCAGTCTATCCCGAATCCTTGAGGTGCGCGGTACTAATAGTAACCATAAAAGCAGTGAATTTTACCTGAAATTTCATAATGACGCTTTCCTAGTGGCATCTAACAAACTATTTTTACATGCCACATTTCGTATTCAAAATCGAGTTCTGTTGTGTGGCGTGTAAATACGTACATATCGTTTACACTGGTATTTAATATTTAAACTACCATGGGCAATTCGTTAGGTGTTAGTCAAATACAAGGAACGGTGATTGACCGCTTCAAATCGGTGTGCCTAACCACAGATGAAAATGGCGGAGTTCGCATCCGGTCTTTCTCTGATGGTGGTCAATTAACATCACGCGTCGCGGCAGAGGTGATACGCGATGAACACAGACTTAGTTTGGATGTAATTCATCGCGTGCGGCATGTCCGTACCTCCTGTACAACAATACCCGAAGAAGATATCGTAAGTGCACGTGAAATCGATAAATTGTGCAAGACGAGTGCTCCTACGACACAAGTATGTATACATGTATGTATATTTAAAAATGTCCTACAATATACATGCGTGTGTACTTTGCAATACCTGTTGGAATATATGTACTCGTTTACTTGGTTTTAGTCACCAATGAAGGGTAACTTGATTTACTTTAATATAATTTTAATTTAAACAATAATTTAATCAGCTAGATCAACTCTTCAATAATAAAATTTAAAAGTTGATAAATGCTTTTCTTCAGCTATAAGACATGAGTGATAGCGGAAAATGGCCCGTCCCAAAGTCCATCCAAATTTGAAAGATAATTTTGAGTCTGTATTTGCTATTTTCGGTTCGTATGTATCTCTTGCGAAAGCCAAAGTATACTTGAAATTGGGACCAAGTAATTAAGAGTTCAATGTTAAGTAACACGGCGTATGGAGTAAAAAGTAGGGAAGTGTATTAGTTTTGATAACGAACCCAGCATTAACCAACTCCCGCCCAACCGACAGAGGGGCGCGCCGGAAGGATAATCGTGAAATTCAACCAAACGGTGGCCGAAAACCAGTGACAATCCGAGACCGAAAAAAAACTTACACTGAACAGCTACATATTTGCTATAAATTAGATGGAAAAAGGAAAAGAAAATTACTTAAATATTTAATGCTCTTAGTAGGTATATTTTGATACAGAGAAACGAGTCAGAGAAATCCAGGCTGGAGTGTGACCAAAAGTTTGCACTACATACTTTTTTGTTCTCTTGTAAAAATGATAGCCACTGCCGGTTATTGGCATATTTGAGAGCGATACGTAATTAAAAAACCCTACACTTTGCTGTTATTTTTTTTCACTGCAAAAGTGGTGCGCGTCTTGATAGTTTTTGCAAAAAATACAAGGACCTACATTTCACTGTTTTGTTTTTTATGAAGAGTCTTTCTTTCATGTCATAAGATCAAATTCTTGCGTTCGACCACGCGGCTTACTAAAAATTGTAACCACTTATTTCAGTTTATTTTCATTTACGATATGTACATAATTCCATAATAAGTGCGTAAGAGGATAACGTTATATTTCCAATTTAATACACAATACGGCCTTGTAAGTTGTGAGATAATATGGCTATGTTGCTGAAACGCCTTATTCTGCAATGCATGCATGCCTTTGATATCACTCCAATATTGTTTGTCGCTCCTGGTAATTTGAGTTAAATAGATTAAATTGGGTTAGGTTAAATGCGAAAGCTACATCGGGTTTCCTAGTTACCTAAAATTGCATAAGCGCATCTATCAGTTGTTGTTATAGATTCTTCTCCATTTCTTGCTCTTCAAACTTTGCTGGTTTCTCCAGTTTACATGCGTTCTACGATTGGAGGTCGGGTAGTCTTACAATTACTCGTATTTAAACGTTCTTTTATTTAACCTCAATATCAAGGTACCGCTAGGCAGGACCACTATCTTTCATTTCAAATTACCTTCTTAATTGTCGCTTTATGAGGGACAACCAGTCATTATCATTAGAAGTCGAAGATTATCTACAAAGACTGTAATTATTAAAATTTGCTTGAAGAATAAACATGGTTCTTGTCTAGTTGCTTTTAGCCCCATCAAATTCAACTTATGGCGCTGGTTTCTACATTTTTTTATTGCCGTCATTGCCATTTTCATACGTCTCTCGCACATATTTTTCGATGGTAATCTTCGATTGCTGACTTACTAGAACTCTCTTTTCTAAGTCATATTGTGAATGAATGAAAAAGAGACGATCAGAAGGTGGATATGTGTATTTGTAGTCTTTTTGACGTTCTGCATATCCTTTCCACACCAAGTGCACATTTTTCGATCTGTTATTCTGTTGATGATTCATAACAACCTTTCTATTAATGTGGCGTGCGACGATTTCCCGCGTCATAATACGAATTTACAAAGGTTGTTTTCCTGGTTGTAACATCCCTCTCTGCTATCGATTACTTTGCTCCAATTTGTTGGGTGTTCCCCATCCATCAAGCAAATTCACATTTCTCAAAACTTCACATTATCAACATTTTGAGGTTTATCTTTTGTCCCAACCGTAACAACTTCGGACGGGCTTTATCACGATGTTGGCCTCTCCCACGAGCTTCATTAAAG